CCTTCGTACCCACCACCTATACATTAAACTGGAAAAATGTGAGTTTGAACAAACAGAAATTCAGTTCCTGGGGTATGTAATAACTCCTAAAGGTTTAAGTATGGACGCAAGTAAAATTAAAGCTGTGCTGGACTGGCCCATCCCCAAGAATGAAAAAGATATACAGAGATTTGTGGGGTTTGCCAATTTTTACAGGCGTTTCATTAAGAATTTCTCTGCCGTTATTACACCGATCACTGAACTTACACGTAAAGGGACTCCTTTTCAGTGGTCCAATAAGGCTGACACTGCATTTTCCAGATTAAAGACTCTGTTTACATCTGCCCCTATCTTGGTACATCCTCAGCCAGAATTGCCATTTACTGTAGAGGTAGATGCTTCTGATTCAGCTGTTGGGGCTATACTGTCTCAAAGGACTGGACCTAAGATGTTGTTACATCCATGTGCCTTCTATTCCCGCCAGATGTTACCAGCAGAAAGAAATTATGACATAGGGAATAAAGAACTTTTGGCTATAAAAGCTGCCTTCACCGAATGGAGACATCTCTTGGAGGGAGCCACCCATCCAATTACTGTCCTCACAGATCACAAAAATCTGGAATGTATCCAATCCGCTAAGAGACTGTCAGCCAGACAAGCACGCTGGTCCCTATTTTTCTCAAGGTTTAATTTTTTTATTTCATACCGCCCTGGTTCCAGAAATGGCAAGGCGGATGCCTTGTCTAGGATAGCTGACCCCCTCCATACTACAGTAACCAAGGCCACCATCTTGCCAGAGAGCAGATTTTTAGGAGTTACCTTTCCTTCTGATCTAATGTCTCGCATTAAAAAGGGCTACTCTAAAGATCCAGTTTTTCGTGATCCTCCTCGTGATCTTCATATGACCATGCTTAATGGGTTTTGGATTTTTCAACAACGTCTGTTTGTTCCAGAATCAGTGCGACTGGACGTTTTACGCCTCTACCATGACTCTAAACCAGCAGGTCATCCAGGAATCCGAAAGACACAAGAACTACTTACCCGATCCTTTTGGTGGCCTAAATATTATGAGGATGTTAAGAAGTATGTGTCCTCTTGTGATGTATGTGCCAGACATAAGACTCCTCGCTCATCCCCTGTTGGCTTGCTTCAGCCTCTTCCGATTCCTCATCGCCCCTGGGGATCTATATCCATGGACTTTATTGTGGAACTACCTCCCTCTAAGGAACACACTACTATTCTTGTTGTTGTGGACCGGTTAACCAAGATGAGTCATTTCATACCAGCTCGTGGTCTCCCTTCAGCTAAACAGACTGCTGACCTTGTTATTCGGGAAATATTTCGCTTGCATGGAGTGCCTGATGAAGTAATTTCTGACAGGGGAGTGCAGTTTACATCTCATTTTTGGAAATATTTTTGTTCTATTCTAGGTATTAATGTAAATCTGTCTTCAGCTTTTCATCCACAAAGTAATGGACAGACTGAGCGAACCAACCAGACGTTAGAACAATATTTGCGGTGCTATATTAGTTACCTGCAGGATGACTGGCTGGATTTTCTACCCACGGCGGACCATCCAACCTTTCTAGTGAGTCTCCCAATTACTACTCCCATTCCTGCAGTCACTGACCGGCTAACCGCCTTACGAGATTCCCAAGAACTGTTGAAGGAGACTCTTTCGGAGGCTCAGGAATGTTACAAAAGAGCTGCTGATAGGCACAGAAAGGAGGCCCCAGTTTATCATGTTGGTGACAAGGTTTGGCTGTCAACAAAGAATCTTAAGCTTAGGATTCCTTCTCATAAATTGGGTCAAAAGTTCATGGGACCTTTTAAGATAATCGCTCAGATCAATGCAGTCACCTTCCGTCTGCAACTTCCGGATTCCATGAAAATACATCCGGTGTTTCACGTGGCACTGCTTAAACCTTTTCATGAAAATACTTTCCCTGGTCGAGCCTTGCCTGCCCCACCACCAGTCCTCGTGGATGGTGAAGATGAATACGAGGTGGAAAAAATTCTTGACTCCAGGATCTTCCGCAACAAGCTTCAATACTTGGTTCATTGGAAAGGCTATGGTGAGGAGGATAGATCGTGGGAACCAGTGGACAATATTCATGCTCCTGATCTTCTTCAGTCTTTCCATGCACAGTACCCTGTTAAACCAGGAAATAGGGCATCCAGAGGCTGCGCCTGTAGAGGTGGAGGTAATGTGAGGAACTGACTCTGCTGGGTTTCGAACCCTGGTTTACATGGTGCTAAACCTTTTCCTTACCAGTACACCAGCCTGCCTTTTGCAAATTTACCTGAGATCTGATACTATTGCTTGTAGAGTCAAGGTTATCAGTGACAACTCACTTCAGCTGTGTCTGGTCAGGTGTCTGGTTCTTGGCCTATAAAAGCCACTTCCTGTCTCTGTACCTTTGCCAGATTATTGTGGTTCCTGTACTCTCTAATCCAGCGTGTTCCTGTTTCTCCTTCCTGTTGCTGAATTTGGACTGTTTTGACTTTGCTGCTTCTCCTTCCCACTGACCTCGGCTTGCCTCACTACGATTATCATCTTTCTGTTCCAGTCTCCCATCTCTGCTTAAGACCAGAAGGCCACTCAAGGCTCAGGGGCTCAACCACCTGGGTAACGAGTGGCTACCTCTGGCAGAAAACATTGCTGATCTGGCTACTGGACTCCAAACCTTTGTAACATCAATATCATTACACTCACAGTGTCCCACTCTAATCAGCTAAGTAAGCCATAACACCTGCAAAGGGTTTCTGAGCCTTTAAATGGTCTCTCAGTCTGGTTCAGTAGGAATCACAATCATGGGGAAGACTGCTGACCTGACAGTTGTGCAGAAAACCATCATTGACACCCTCCATAAGGAGGGAAAGCCTCAAAAGTTAATTGCGAAGGAAGTTGGATGTTCCCAAAGTGCTGCATCAAAGCACATTAATAGAAAGTTATGTGGAAGGGAAAAGTGTGGAAGAAAAAGGTACACAAGCAGCAGGGATGACCGCAGCCTGGAGAGGATTGTCAGGAAAAGGCCATTCAAAAGTGGACTGAGGCTGGAGTCAGTGCCGCAAGAGCCACCACACACAGACGGATCCTGGACATGGGCTTCAGATGTCGCATTTCTCTTGTCAAGCCGCTCCTGAACAACAAACAAAGTCAGAAGCGTTTTACCTGGGCTAAAGAAAAACAGACCTGGTCTGTTGTTCAGTGGTCCAAAGTCCTCTTTTCTGATGAGAGCAACGTTTGCTGTCACATTACAGTTTTAAAACTTAAACTTTTTTGGGTGCTAAAAAATACATTAGTAGGGTGCACTTCATATGTGAGAGTCAAATAGAAGCTTCTAATAGTGTCCTTACAGCGCAGTGGTAAACATTCTTATTTTCTGGGTGCTAATCTGCTAAATAGTACATTTTGGGGCGTGCACTTCATATCTGAGAGTCAAATAGAAGCGTCAAATAGTGTGCTTAAAGCGCAGTGGTAAACATTCTTATCTTCTGGATGCTAAACTGCTAAATAGTACATTTTGGGGCGTGCACTTCATATCTGAGAGCCAAATAGAAGCGTCTAATAGTGTGCTGACTGCGCAGTTGTAAACATTCTAATTGTTTTGCTGCTAATCTGCTAAATAGTACATTTTGGGGCCTGCTCTTTATATCTGAGAGTCAAATCGAAGCGTCTAATAGTGTGCTGACTGCGCAGTTGTAAACATTCTAATTGTTTTGCTGCTAATCTGCTGCTTACATTGGAGTTTTAAAGAGCCAATTATTGTTTTTTTGGTGCTAAATAGTATATTTGGGGTGTTCACTTCATATCTGAGAGTCAAATCGAAGCGTAACTTTGATTCAGATTTACTACATCGGTCACTTGTAATATTGTTTCACACCTACAATACTTGTTACACAGATCTAAGTGATAGAAAACAGATTGATATTTTCTACACTAGAAACTACCAGATAACAAGCTGCTATATTTAAACCAGTGATCAATAGCTAAGAGGTACTTCAACAATATTGTAATTCTGGGGCAATACCCTCACAAGTCAAACTGAGAGGTCAGTTTATAGGGAAAACCGTTGCCTGGATACAATTCTAAAACAATTTCCAAGACTTTACATGCTGGAAAAACACAGGTGCCAACTGCTGTGGCTTTCTGCAATGTGCATACCGGCAAGGAGGGCATGGTTGAGGAGTGGGTGGAAGATGATGTGGAGGATGATGAGGTCCTAGACCCCACATGGAATCAAGGTCATGTGAGTGACGTGAGCAGTTTGGAGGAAGAGGCGCTGGTCGCACAGAGACACCAGCACAGCATAAGAGGGAGCAGGGTGCAAAAGCGGAGCGGCCGTCCCCCAGCGCTCGTCGGCATGTATTAGCTTGAGAATTACCAGTTATCCAAGTAATACATGTAGCGATCAAAGGATCCATAATAGAGTTGAGCAAACCCGAACTGTACCAGATTTAACGATCCATTCGTAGTTTCACAGTGAGGTGGGCAGTCCGGTTACCAGAACCCAGACACTGTCTGGGCGGCGATCGGACGACCGGGACCCAGTATGCCTGATGTTGAAGTTAGGAGTCACAGTGTGAAATGGATTAGCAGGGTCTGGTGCAGGGTAACCGCACGCCCCCTGGTGTTGAGCACCAGTGTTTGTGCGGCCGCATACCAGGACCCTGATGCAGCTTCAGTAAAAAGAGTACTGGATACCAGAAGCCATCACCAGACTGATCCGCAACTTGGAACAGGATGTGACATTCACTGTAGCGGCTGTGCGCACTTTTGGCATTCTCACCCTGCTGCTGCTCGCCTGTCTGCGCTGCAGCATAACTTCGGCCTTCCAGCTCACCGCCTCATGAGACTGTGCAAGCAGCAGCAGGCGATAGTGGAGTTCGAGCTGCAGCACGCACAGGTCAGTGGCTCTGCACCAGACTTCCTTCCAATTGATCAGAGTTAAAGGATTTCAAGTGGGCTCAGTACAATTCCAGGGCCTCTAAAGAGTCCTGTATTGTTATTTGTCGCCACTACCTTCCCGCGTCGGGAGTGGGACATTTGCACACCTGCTGCCTTCCTTGCATGTGGTAGCTGTTTCTCAGGGTCCCTGTACGGAATGGAACCCTGATTCCCCGTTACCTGTGGTCACCATGGTAGGTGCAGAAACTGGCATTGAAAGTTGATATGGATGACATTCACATGCAAAGTCGCTGCCACGGGCATGTGCGATTGGCCTGAGGTTCTCTAGAGTCAACAAAGTGCCTGCGCAACTATAATGTCAACAGCTACTCTGCGGAACAGAGTTGTCTTTTTTTATATGTCCCAATATTTTCGGGGCTACCCCAATTAAAAAAAATAAAAACCCAAATTAAAAACAGTGTTGGCTACCTCATCCTCCTCCTCCACCGCTGCTTCCACCTACACAGCCACGGTCACCGCCTCCTCAACCTATGGGTCACTTAGTATACACTATGTACACAATAGCAGAGGCTTGTGAAGGCCTTTTCTCCATGCATCAGGTTGAGCATTTCTCCGTGCATCAGGACTGCAAGAAATGCACCGCAGGCCGCAAATGTTTATTTTTTTGTATGTCCCAATATTTTGTGGGCTACCACAAAAAAAACAAACAAACATAAATAACAGTGTTGGCTACCTCCTCCTCCACCACCATGGTCACCACTTCCTCAGTCTATAGGTCACTTGGTATAAACGAGGTACACATTAGCAGAGGCTTGTGAAGACCTTTTCTCTATGCATCAGGACTGAAAGAAATGCACCAAAAGCTGCAAATGTTCTTTTGTTGTATGTCCCAATATTTTGTGGGCTACCACAATTAAAAAAACAAACATAAAAAACAGTCGTGCGTGATGACCTCACAACATAGGAAACATCATTCACAGTTGAGTCCCAACACTCCCACTGATACGAGCGCTGTGATTGGATGTATCACGGACGCCATTCACCAATCACCTCCCCTCTATGGGGTATTTAAATTTGAACTAGCAGCATTTTTAATTACCTATTGATAAAGCCGAATTATACAGGCGAAAAACGTCTTGGACTCATCACCAGCACTTAAGTATATTGATTTTATTGTTTTATAGTATATGTTACAATAAATGTTACTTTTTTATAAAGAAGTCTGGTGAAACATCTATGCTGCTTAAAGAAGGGCTGTGTCACTCTAATTAATAAAATAAAAATGTAAATAATATTATAATAAAATAAAAATTTAATAATATTAAAAAAAAAAAAATTTAATATTAAAATAATAACAAAAATAAATAATAAAAATGTCCTCCCCCCACCAAGGTTACACACTCTGTATCACATACACAGCATTCATTATACACACACACACACACACACTGCATTCATTATACACACACACACACACTGTAAATAAATATTAAATTAATATAATTTTTGGGGGATCTAATTTTATTTAGAAATTTACCAGTAGCTGCTGCATTTCCCACCCTAGGCTTATACTACAGTTTTTTGGAGGTAAAATTAGGGGCCTTGACTTATGTTTGGGTCGACTTATACGCGAGTATATCCGGTATTTTTACTGTAATTGCTTTGTATCGTTGTATTTGTGTATATATGAGCTATTATATTGTATATGTTCATTAGTAGTTTATGGTATCGTGTATGATACATATGAATGTGGGCTGAGTATGAGGGCTGCTTGTGGAATTGTGTGTGGATATGTCACATTGTGTGTTTGGTAGTGTGTGGGGGCTGTTTGGCGTATTGCATGTGAGAGGCTGCATGTGGGGTTGTGTGCATGTATGTGGATTGTTAGTGGTGTTGCGTTTGTGGGGATTGTGTGTATGTTTGTGTGTGGGCTGTTCATATTTGTATGAGGGGAGGGTTATTCTGCATTTCTGTGTATATCTAGCAATGTGGGTGGCTTCCCTGGGTTCCAGTGGGGACCAGGCTGGCCAGGTACAGGTCAAGGACAGGAGTTGCAACAGTCGCTGCGGGCTGCTCTACTACAGTGTGGACTCCTATTTACAAGTGCTGGGAGCAAGTGATCTGAGATCACTTCCTCTATGTGCTGCAATGCATAAATTGAGGATTGTCCTTCACCACCTCTTTGTATTAGCAGATATCTGAAGTTTTACTGGGACTCCTGATAGGCCAGAGCCTGTTTGGCTCTAGCAGCCTTGAGTGCCGTGCAAAGATACCTTGAGTGCCGTGCATGGCACTAGTGCCGTAGGTTGCCTACCCCTGCTCTAGACCATGTGAGTGAATCCAGTATAAGATATTTCTCTCACCACTACACTGATCATATTGCACCATATTTTATATATTTCAATTTTAGGATTTTGCCACCCATTGCCTATATCTCCTGAGAATTCCAGGAGTAAGTGTTAGTTTATTTGTTAAAGCACTACACACTTTTCCCTATTTGGCATTTATTTGCACAATAGCATTTTTTTCTTAACACATAAAAAACAGTGTTGGCTACCTCATCCTCCTCCTCCACCGTCACAGTCACCGCCTCCTCAACCTATGGGTCACTTAGTATAAACTAGGTACACATTAGCAGAGGCTTGTGAAGGCCTTTTCTCCATGCATAAGGAGTTGAGCTCTGTTTGAACAATGAAAGAGAATACCCTGCACTCCAACCCGCTCTCAAATTGATAAATCTGGTGATCCACCTGACAGCCATGCTTTAGATTTTGCTTTATGTTCTTCCAAAGCTAAAATCAAAGATTCCATCTAGTGCTATTTTATGGCTCAGCTGTATTTTTAATTTTTTTGTTATTTTAAGTGATTTCCCTATCCACATTTGTTTGCAGGGCACTTGTCCTACTCTTACCCCCATTTTACTTCCTTTTGCAGCTCTCTAGCCCTTTCCAGGAGTTTTTTAGAGGTATTTTTGTGGCCAAAAGTTTGGGTCCCCATTGACTTCAATTGGGTTCGGGGTCAAGTTCGAGCCCAAACTTTTTTTCAAAGTTCGGCCGAACCCGCCGGATCCAAACATCCAGGTGTCCGCTCAACTCTACTCAGCAGTGCCACAGGCTGATAGCTTCCATGCCACACCGCATTAAGGCAGTAATTGCTGCAAAAGGGGCCCAAACCAAGTACTGAGTTCATATGCATACTTATGCTTTTCAGAGATCCGATATTGTTCTATGTACACTCCTTGTTTTATTGATTGCATGTAATATTCTAATTTACTGAGATTGTGGATTTGGGGTTTTCATTAGTTGTAAGCCATAATCATCACACATATGACAAATCACGGCTTGAACTAACTTTGCATGTAATGCGTCTATCTCATATATTAGTTTCCCCTTTTGCGTTGCATTACTGAAATAAATGAACTTTTGCACAATATGCTAATTTTTTGAGTATCACCTGTATATCATTTTTTTTTAGTATGACGTTATATATGATATATATTATAATATATATCATATATATATATATATATATAAACATATTAAAAAAGAAACCAATGACAAGCACACCCTCCGTCAGCATGCACAGGTTGGTTTAATGCTCTCCTAGGCCATGCCATGATAAAAAGGACTTGCATTTGTTCTGCGCAGAGCAAACAAATTTACTGACATGAGTGACCTGTGTTTGCTTGAGACTTGTCTCTGGTGTCTCCATATGTGAGATTCCAGAGGACAAAAGGGTCAAGAAAGAGTACTGTACATGTGTTTGGAGGCTGTTTGTGGGATTGTGTGTGTGTGTACAATGAGCTAATTGTGGTGTGATGTTTTTTGTTTTGGTTTCAGTTGTGTTTATTGTGTGGCTAAGGGCTATAGGGAGTGTGTATATGAGCTGTGTGTAAAGGATTCATTGTGTGTACAGGGGATTTAGCATGTGTGTGCAAAGGTGCTGTACTGTGTGTATATAGGTGACATTGTGTAGGTTCTTTAGAGAGTGTGTGTTTAGGGAATGCAGCATGTGTTTTTGTGTTCAGTGGATCTAGTGTGTGCAGAAGGTATCCAGAGTGTGTATAGGGTTTGTAGTCTGTAATATAGTGTGGTGGTGCAGCGTATGTTTAAAGGTGATTTAATGTGTTTAGGGTATGGAAATTCTCTGCCATGTAGGTGTTAAATCACTTTGTTTATGCAGCTCTGCTCACGCCTCCCTGCATGTGACTTACACAGCCTTCCTAAACACTTGCTGTAAAGAGTCATCTAATGTTTACACTTCCTTTATTGCAAATTATGTTTAATTTAGAATTTCCTATCTCCTGTTCTGTTAATTGTCCCCAATTAGGGGACAGTAGTATGAGAAGAGAGGAACAAATAAGGAAGGGGTAATAAGAATAAGTGGAGGAAGAGAGAGGAACAATTCTGAGGAAATTGTAAATTAATAAAGGGGATTGAGGGAGATATAAGGGATAGATGAGGATTGGAAACACAATGCAACCACATACATACACACTAACCCTTCACAAAAAATGCACTCCTGCATGCACACATTGGCATGCTGCATAAATACACCACAACATTAACACACTAACAAACCACACAATTATACCCCTACATTCCCACAAATAGTGATAACTCTATTAATACTTGCATGCTTAAAGGGATACAAAGCTGTATTCCTGGCACTATCGCCTCCCTTGCCATTGGTGAATAAAAGGTTAAAATCCCTTTATTTACTTACCTGATTCCAGTGATGATCTTGAAATAGGAATTGAAAGACATGTTTCAGTGTTTGCAGATGGCACAAAACTCTGTGAAGCAATACAATGTTAGCAGGATATTGCTTTGCTGCAGAGAAATTTAGATAGATTGGGGGACTGGCACTCAAATGGCAGATGAAATTAAAGTAGAAAAATGCAAAGTTATGCACCTTGAGGTAAAGAACACACAAGCAACTTATACCATAAATGGTAGTGAATTATGGATAACAACACTCAAGAATGATTTGGGAATTGTTACAGACAACAAACTAGGCAACAATGTGCAATGTTAATCAACAGTACCTAAAGCTACTAAGGCATTGTCATGAATAAAAAGGGGCATTCATTCTCAGAATGAGAATATAATTTTACCTCTTTATAAAACACTAGTAAGACCACACCTTGAATATGCTGTGCAATTTTGGACAACTGTTCTAAAGATGGATATTATGGCAGTAGAAAAAGTGTACAGGCAGGCTGCAAAATTAATAAAAAAGGAATGGAGCATTTTAGTTATGAAGAAAGGTTAACAAATTTAAATATCCTTAGAAAAACAGCACCTCAGAGGGGATAGGATAGCATTATACAAATATATTCAGGGCTAAAACAAACCATTGCCTGGATATCTATTCATAAAAGGGACACGAGGTCATGCTTTTAGATTGTAAGAATAGTGTTTTGGAACAATAGCAAAAACAAATGTGAGAAAGGCTGAACTTGATGGACGCATGTTTCTTTTTAGCTATATAACTATCTCCAGCTCTGTAAGTTGAACTTAAGTAAATCACACATAGGCTCCTGCAAGCTATTAAAAGATCAGGATATAAGAAATTCTAAATTAAACAAAATGTACAATAAATTATGTTTAAATATTACATGTGTAGGAAGATTGCCTGGGTTACATACAGGTGAGGTGTGACTACTGTTGCATAAACAAATTTAATTAACTTATAAATACCAGAGAATTGAGCAGTGACTGCAGGAGCATGATCTATACACCACAAACGCTCCATGAAGCTAAAGTTGTTTTGGTGCTTATGGTATCCATTTAATTTAAATTATTCTTAAGGTTTGAAAGGAATTGTCTGTGTCTGTAAAAGCAGTATAAGATGCAAACTAAAAAAAAATGATATGTATAACACAGTGTTACATTAGATTAAAAGACAAGTTTACAAAACATTAACACAGTCGACCAAGGATTTGGGTTTTTTTGCAGAATTTTGTAGATAACTAAAAAGTGTATATAACGAGTTAAATGTTAATGTGAAAACATTACAAGTTACTATGCTATTACATGTCAAAGATATGTGTTCCTTTATATATGCACTGCAATGTTTTGTGGACCCAGAACATACTTGAAACCGAGAGAAATCTCAATGTATCCATCCCGGTAAAATATTTTATAAATAAATAAATATACCAGAAGGCTTTCTATGCAAATTAGCCTCCTCGAAGAAGGCATGATTCCCCTATAAATCCTTTTTGATGTATACACACTTTGAGGCTAATTTCTATAAAGATATCAATACATTACAATTTACTTTTAACGCAATTTACAAATAAGGAGAAAAATAAGACTTCTAAGGAACAAATTCAAAGTTTTTAAATATACAACATGTCCTTTCAATTGAATCTCTCTTTTGCTGTTGACCTTAATTGACCTGAGACAGTCCTGTAGCACGTCTGACACAAAGACATCATAAAAGTTACTGACTATGTTATATTAAAGAATATCTGTAGAAATATGAATCTGTAGGAATTTATGCAGATACAAATGTAGTATGCAGGCATAAGAGTTTTTAAATTCTAATAACTTAATATGCTAAAGCTTAATTAAACTTTAATTATTGAAAATGCCTAGCAAAGGGACTAGTATAAGTTTTGAAAGAAAAGCTAAATGTAATGGTTCTTCACATAACACTTGTTAACCTCTACATTTGATTTGGCATTGTACAATTTCTAATCGTTTGTAGAATATCTGTATGAATTCCACCTGTAGAAAGAGCAGGGGTGAAAGCGTTTTCTAAACAAATAAGGAACAATTTAAATAAATTACATATGAGAAGATAACTGCAAACAAAATTGTAGCCATGGAAGAAATTTATCTTCAGTATTAAATAAAGAAAACGACTTAGATTTTATAAAGCTGAATAATTTCTCTTAATTTTTTTAATTGGCAACATTATTAAATTGTTTTACATTAAAAGATAACTATATTTAATTAATGCATTGGGTATTGGATATTTTTAGTACCATTGAGTTTAATTATACAATGTTAATATGCTAATGGAAATAAATAATTTCCATGATTAAAATATTGAAAAGCAATGAAAATACATGTACTAACTACAGATTAGGTGCAATTAAAACATTTTACATGTTATAGATACTGTAAGTGATATTAACATATTACTTATAAAATCTTCAAATTCGAAAATCACTTGTTTTAAGTATCAATGCACATATTTTATGTTTTAAAAGATAACTATGTTCTGAGAACTACACAGATTTTGTCTTTGTTACTTCTGTTTAGAATAATTGACCACTCAAAGTTCCTTCTTTTAATATATTGTCTCAGTTAACATAGTCTGATTAGAATATTTAAAATGTTTCTACTATAACTACAGAATTTGATGGTGCTATATAAATAATAAAATAATAACATAAATAAGAAAAAGGCATTATATAAAGGTAAACAGACACTACACTATAAAAACAGAAGTATAAAAATGTAGTTTACACTGTTGCTGAATGTGATGACAATTTTTATAAATATGCATAAATATAGATACATGTCTTGGGAATGTATGCCTCTATGTAAGATTAAGTGTGGCCTTTAAAATTATTGCATTTAGCATAGTCAGGTTATATATATATTATTTATTTTTTTGCAGTTTTTATGTTAAGCATGGCTAAAGATGTTTCAAGACCATGTGTTTGCACGGCATGTTGTATGTCAATACTTTTATTTTTCTTCTGCTGCAAGTAAGAAAAACACATTTTAAGGTGGCCATTAATTAACTATATATGTGTTACAAAAGCACGTTAACATCACGTGGTAAAATGTCAACCAATGAATAATTTCTCAAGAGAGAGAATGCATTCTTCTTAAAAAATAATAAAAAAAAATGTTATGTAATAGTCCAAACTTGCTTATAATGTAAATGGCAGTTATTGCAATAAAACAAATGAGAAAAAAACAAGTACTGGCAATGCAGAAATGGTGGTTCTCCTGGAAAGTCAAATACCCCCAATGCACTGACGCTTATAGCCCGTCAGTGTCATGTTAAGCATTAAATACACTTATAATAACTATACTGATTAATAACATGCAAAAAGCTGCAATTGCATGGAATACATGCATGCAATTCCCAATATTGCATAAACATTTTAAGCACATAGGATTCATCATTAGCTATGTATACATGTCAGTAATATGCCACAATGAGTGCTCCCAAAGAGTAACTAAATATTATAATTGGCGTAAGACTGCATTCAAATGGCAAGTTTGGATATGTATTTAAAATGTATCACAAGTGTTGTAGGTGCAGGATATTTAAATGATACGCATCACTTCCCAAGTTTTTTTTAAAAGAAGTCTACATATCCTCTATATTTCACAGACATGAATGTGACTGGGAGATAAAATAAACTTAAACATAGAAATCTACACAACTGTATGTATCTCTCTCCTAGAATTGAACACTTCCACCTTGACTACCTGGCATGATCCTATAAACATGGAGAGCATAGTCTCCAATATCATGTGTGTCCTGTATGTGCCTGTGCAGAACTTAATTGTGATGTAAATTGCTGAATCTTTAGTAAACATTTGAAAGAGAGTGAAACATCACATGAGAATAAAAGGTAACAAAGGGTATATGTTTTTTCAATGTTTTATTCACTGGTGTAATTCCAGAAGACAGACTATTCCCATTGTAAGCCTTGTTGACCCCTTTGCAAATGTTAAACTGAAATGTATTTGCTACAATGAAAACCAAGAGAGGAGTTGTGAACTTTTAGAATAGCTAGAAATTTGTTTAAGTTTGGTTTCCAGGTGTATTTTCCATTATCTATTCAGAGGTGCAAAATGTTGTGTTTTTATTTATATGTAGTGTGTTCTCACTTTAACAGGGCCTCAGTACTCACAATCTCTGTTTTTATTACTATATTATTTACACAGAAGCCTACATAGCACCATGGAGCAGACCAGCCATGCATCCAGTTCCCTCAGTACCCAGTGGTTAAAGTCCAAGTATCACATGGGAGCCGTCTTCTTGAGCTCGGCGCTTTATGTAATTGCCCTAATCGATAATTCGCATTGCAACACAACTCCCTCTTACACAAGGCAAATCGAAATCCCAGGTACCGACAAGGACCATCCTGAGGATGCAGGAGGTATGTCTGTAGCTCCCTCGCCTTGCCAGCCCCACACGTGACCCCGTCAGCCTGCACTCCATTTACATGGCATGACTTCTTATTGTGAGCGGGATCCCACATCACGGCTACTGCGACACAATCACGACATGGCTTCTTCACTGGAATGTCCCAGCGTTCTAAAAACACCAACACGTGCTAGAGCGGAACACGTTGTTGTGAGTGACAAACAGACGCCCTGTCCGCGCTTTATCAATGGATTAACCCCTTGGGAGTGCCAGGCGTGTGCCAAGGACCAGACACTTGAAGGGTTAAAACAAAAAGCGCAAACAGGTAACGTCCAATTCAGCTAATTAACCCGCGCATTAATTAACCGGCCGTGATTTCTAGCAATTCGTGTCTAATTATTGTAGTGATTACACTGCCCGCCTCCCTATATAATCCCCCGGGCCCGGCTGGGTACACGGCGTGCAGTCGCTGCTCGCTCTCGGGTTTGTTGTGCTGGTTGTAGTATCGAGCCCCTATGTGTAGGAGGGAGGGGGAGGTGAGCAGGGAGGCCCCCTTACTTCCCCTAGCGTGTAGGCTGTGATTGGTTGCGGACGGGCATAGGAAGTCTATTTTTTTTATGCTAATGAGGCGCTGGGCTTGTAGATATTTACGTTCATACGGGAGCCGCCCTTCATTCACCACATGGCCGGATTCAGACCTTGTTCGCGCCACTTTCGCGGCTGTCTATCCTGCTGTGTGAGCGGCTCCCTGTCAGCCGGGGCTGTGAGAGGTAAGTGTTCGCTGCTCAGTGTGTGCTCGGCGTGCGGAGGAGGTGGGGGTCTGTGTTTTGGGGTCCTTCTTCCTGCGTTCTACTCTTCTCGTAGTAACAGAGGAGGGGGCGAGGGAAGATGGAGGCACTCTCTCCCCTCCGCTGACCCTGGCCAGGCTGTGTATAGCGGGATGGCGGCCGTTGTTTGGGTGCCCCCTCCCCCGGCAGTGTGGCTGGCTGCATGGCTGTGTTTATGATAGTAAGGGCAGAGCGCATGGCAGCCATAGTGCGGAAGAATGAGGGAGATTTGAAACGCGTGCTGCAGTGTCTCCCTCCGCCTCCTCCCCAGCACACACGCTGCCTGCACCCGGCCCGGGGGGGCCTCCAAGCTGAACCCCCTCGCCCTCCGTGTATCCCTATATGCACTGAGCGCTGCCCGGACTGTCCCTGACAGGCCCGTGCGGGCTCCCCGTATGTGATGGGATATTATTGTCGTTAAATAGCCCCCCCCCCTGGCTAGGCCGGACACTTGTCATGCGTCAGCCCCAGATAACCCCAGTCTATTGTCTCTTGATACGGTCCTATTGTGCCCCCGGGCTGCCCGGCTACGGCCCTCTTTCTCCCCCCTCCCCCTCAGAGACAAAGCTCTTTGTCTGCGCTCGGCGGGTCCTGACACCCGTTACACTCCATGGTGGCCGGTCATGGTCAGCAGTCACCCCGGTGTCACCTGTCCGACACGCACGCCGTGTGGGTCCCCAGCTCTAACAATGGGCCCGGGGCGGCGCACGCCGTGTGATGACCTTATTGAGTGCTGGTGTTGGGAGTTTGTTTACCTCCCCGCGGCCTGCCAGCTTCGTCACCCGCCCCTCCCCCACCGCTCCGGAGAGGCCGCGCACGGTGCTCATTGTTAGCGGCCGAGCAGTTGAGGGACCTCACGGCGCCATGTTAGGCGGGAGGGTGGGGGAGGGCCCATGTTCCCAGCCGTGTCCCCGCTGCGGCTCTCGGCAGAGCGCGGGCGGGGAGTGCGTAGCACGCCTTGCTCTCGGGGTGAACGAGGCCTTGCAGCAGATGCCTGGCTGTCTGCCGCAGCTTCATAGTAAGGGGGAGGGGGCTGCGCCATGCTGCACACGGCATGGGGAGGAAGTGGAAACCATGGTGGCGGGGCCGCTTTCTTCAATGCGAGCTCCAACATGCGCACTAACCACACGCTTACTATCAGCGCCTGCTACAGCAACTAACGCGCGTAAATCGGTTCCCCGTTCGGATTGTGGGGGCTGGCGTTATTTTGGGCTGGCGGCAGCTCCCCTAGTGGCTGTGAGGCCGGCGGTACAGACACGTGCTCCTACTTCCATGAGGGCCGCAGCTCTCCGCACCGCGCTCTCTAGCCACACGGTGTGGCCCCTGGTGCCTTGCTCTCTGTGTAACACGATGCACCAGCACGTGGTAGGCCTGCGGGCGTCCATTGTGCTCGGGGCAGTTGTTGGTGGAGGGCCTGCACCTAGGCACGCATAGCATCGACAAAGGAATCCAAGCATGACAGACGTAAAACAAAGATATGCGAGGCACTTGATTTATCACATGGCCACAAGGAAACAGTACACTTCCCCACTCATGGCTTGTAGGAAAGGCAAATGTGTCACATGGAGTGCCAGGGCTTCTCTAGTTCAAGCAATTCTACTTATTGGGCATTTTTGACAAATTCTAAATTTCTAGCCCTGTGAATGAATACTGATTATTTTAAGTTTAGTCATACTAAGCCTTGTACATTTTAAATGTTTGACATGAATACTAACCCAGGAATCCAATTGCTTTAAACAGGACGTGGGCATGCCAGACTTGCCACAATTAGTGGCACTAAATTTTTTTTTTTTTTGCAGGTGTCGCCAATTGAAAGGCGTTAAGATGTCTGTGCCTGTCAAGAGTAATGTCAAAGTGCTTACAGTGCAGGTAGTGATTTTAATATAACCTACTGCAGTGAAGGCACTTGTAGCATTATGTTGACTGATCTTTTTCACCGACTTATCAGGTATAAAATGGCTTCCTGTGTTAAGGTGCATCTAGTGCAGATAGTGAAGTAGATTAGCATCTACTGCCCTAAGTGCTCCTTCTGGCATAAGAAGCCTAATTTCATCTGTTTTTTGGGGAGAGGGTGTATTTGGCTTTGCTTGCTATTTGAAGCAGCCTTCTGTAAGTTTTGCATAGTTGCACTACAAGAACTGAGTTGTGCAAATCTATGCAAAACTGATGGCAGTCTGTACTGTCAACAATAGCTATCTGCTACAGATTATAATGGTGAAACAAGCACATGCTTTAGCTTCGGTAGTGCTAAAGTGCTTATAGTGCAGGTAGTAATTAGTGTTCTACTGCATCATGAGCACTTAAAGTACTTCTGGCTGTAAATCCTCTGCTTGGTCTCTCTGCAGTGTTAAGAGGTCTATGGTGTTACATGATTAGTTTTGCAGGTTTGCATCCAGTTATCTCTATACTCTGCTGTGCAAATCCATGCAAAACTGATCATGGCACTGTCTTTCAGCAGACTTGGATAGAAAGATGCCACTTTCTGCACAGGTTGGGATTGGTTGCAATGCTGTCTGTTTGTGTGGTATTGCACTTGTCCCGGCCTGTTGAGGATAGTTGGGATTTCTTTTTTGAGTTTGTGACTGGTCAAGTTAAAATATTGAATTTAGACTAACATGAATTTTATATCTTCTGCCTATGTGTAGTTACATGACTTGTTATCAGTGTATATATCACTATTTGCTTGTTTTAATGAAAAATGTACTTTTGTGTTTTGGTGGTTTTTATTTATATATATATATATATATATATATATATATATATATAATTTTTTTTTTTTTAACACCTGGGCAATTTGGTTCACTCAGCTGGGGTTAGTCTTGCATGGCCTAGTGTCTGCATAGTTTTCATTGTCTGCAACTCTTATTATAGTAGTTAGTTTGGCAGTAAAGTGTGTTTTTTTTTTTTTTTTTTTTTTAT